ATGAAGGTTGAAAAACTAGAGGGAATTTTAAGAATCAGTCTTATAAAGGAGCCCTTACTTTCAAAGGCCACATAGATGGGCCAGATAAGTTGCCTACTGCAATTACCCTTGTTTAGCTGTACTACCTGGCTCATGGTTGGGATAGAAGGTGCCTTTTCCATCCGTCTTCCCCTTGTGGATCATCTTTGGTGTGGTGTGTGAAACCATGGAATGCATGGTCACTCTACCTGAGTAGATTCAAGATGATTACAGAAGTATGAGAATCTCACTGCTACAGTTAATAAGCCATAACACCCTAAACTAGGACCATTAATACAGCTTCAAATAACACATAATTCCACTCGTCCTTACTCCAGATGATGTGCAACATATGAGTCTTGTTGTACCTCTAAACAACCACAAGGTGACAGGCAATGCTGCTAAACAATTCTGTGAAGCCTGGATAGTTAATTGTTTGGGTGGTCATATTATTAATTAATAAAATTCCTGAATTATTACATGGTCAGTGGTCAACTTTAATTCTGACTGATGAATAATTGAAACTTCAGAAGCAGATTAAGCCTGTCAGGAGGATACAGTGGTTACATCTTAAGATCATAAGGACAGAAAATATCATAAAACTTTTTTGCCAAAAAGCTTGGCGAAATATTTTTCTTTGCTGCACAACTGATAAACCACCCTTAAGAAAAGTGCAGGTAAGGCCACATGGGAGAGGCCATGGATGCACTATCATGATGTTGGAAGTAATGGAATAATAAAAATAGACTAAGAAACAGCAGAAGGAGGCAGGAAGTACTCATAGCTTTTCTATACAGGGAATTTATGTTGACTGAAAGTGTAAAAACAAGACTGAGAAGTCCATGTATTAAGGAGCATTTGCATAAGGGAGATTATGTAATGTGTGATCCCCAGAGAATGATTATTGGTGGCAGGACACCTCCACTGGGATTGCAGTAATCTCCACTGTCAACCTGGCTTGTGGAATGGACGCTATATGGTTTATTTTACTTGGTAACAACATAAAGATCTAAACATGAAGAAATGTTATTCTTAACAGCTATGTATTTATCTTCACAAAAAAAGGGTCTTATTCTGTAACCTTGGGGGGGTTTTACCTTTTGCACAAAGGTTTACTAAATATTTATAGAAACATGCTTTCTAAATATGTAATTCCATTGCATATTAAAGCTAATATTTTATGAAAGAATGAGAAGTAGAGGGCATTAGTACTGTAGTTTGGGTATTGGGTATGGCCTCTGAGGAATAAAAAATTGAAGTATACAAAAGAAGCTTTATTTTACATCCTGTATCAGCTTGTACAGATTATTTCAGTTTCATCAGCTGTCTTCTAGAATTTTTTGCAAAGGGATATCTTTGAAGATCAGTTACAGAATTAAAAAGTAACAGTAACTAAGCAATTCTCAGTCTCATCATTACGGTTCAGAAGCTGTTAACAGTTGTAAAGGGCTAATTAGTGTAATGTAATCCTCTTAGGAGGCTGCAGGCATTGAGCTAGATTTCTTTATAATTTGTATGTAGGCCTTCTTTATTCCATTGGAATTACAATAATTACAGACATCAATATGTATTTGAATTCTAGCCATCCACATTATGTTTATTTTGCATACTGAATACTGCACAATAAATGCAGAAGCAGAATTCTCTATTTTCTATTTAAGTATCAAAATGTTTGGAAGAACAGCCAAATACTGGTTTTATAACTGTGCAAAATCTACCAAAAGAGAAAATGAAAACAGGAATAAGTGGCTTTCTGAAATCCCAAGCAATCGGAGAGAGAAAATACTGGAAGAGCTGGATGTGAACAAAGTGCTGTCATATTTGGTTTACAAGAGAGTCTTTTCCTTGGAGGAATACAAAGACATTTGGTCCCAGGAGAGCTACAGGAAGAGAACTGAATATTTTTTAGATAAACTCTCTTTAAAAGGCCCTGGTGCTTTCTCTGCCTTTTATTCCATTTTGGAGGAGGTCAGTCCTAACTTGCTGACATGCTTTTTCCTTGACTGTGAAGGTAAGGTCACTGTCTGCTCTGAAATGCTTAAGTATATATTGGTAATGTCTTGGAATCCTTTGACACTAATAGTTATTTGCTATAATTAGTGTTTACTTTCTCTGTTGCACTAAACTGGAGAGAGTATTTTCTCTCTTTATAGTTCTTTGCTATGAAGAAAAAAATATTAAATATATTTTATTGTTATACTCTGAATATTTGAACTGCTAACAAAATGCTGCATATTCAAATTGCTGCTACTAATAAATAAAGGTCAGGATAGGGGAAAGGATTTCCTAAGTGTTACTGATAACACAACTTAGAAATGTAACATTGATCATTTAGTTCCCTTTCTTTTTCTAAAATATTTAAAAATAGATTGAGAAGTTCTGTAGGTATAGTGCCCGAGTAAGTGATTGCTTTCACATTTTTCTTGTATGTCACATTATTTACTATATCTAACTGTAAACAACTGCATGAAAAAATATTGTATTAATAAATATCAACAATACCATTGAAGTTAACCAAAATGTTATTTGGAAATCAGGCACTATTAGTATGTATTTCCAAAATGGTGTTTTCCTAGATATTAGCAAAGATAATGTGAAAAAATATGTGCAGAGTGTTTACAATTATATTTTACTGACCTACTTTTATTTTTTATGCCTGTTATATTCCAAATTTCAGTCTATCAAGTCAGCTAGAGTTTTTCTCAACAATGACTTCAGGGTTGTGCTCAAAGGTTATATATAGAATTTATTTTTAGAATTTAATTAAAATAGTCATATCTTTCACCCATCCATTCAGAACCAGGTTTAAACACCTTAATATTACAACTATTTATAAATAAAAAAGTAAGTCTGAGTACTGTAAGAATTCTAATAAACTAAATGCAAAAAATTAAAATCTAAAACTATTTTGACCTTTAAAATAGCTATAGACTGTGTACTTTCTTGGCAACCTGATTACTTTTAAAATTGACAGAGATCTAATTACTTGAGAAGGCAACAGATATATTACCCTAATTTAATTATGAAAGATGCCCCTTTAACTTATCTTTTTGAGATCAATTTACAGTTAGGTTTTATGGCAGTTACAAGAAAACCAAAGGAGATTCACAAATGTTGGAGATTTTAATATATATAAAATGTACTTCACGGACAACCATGTTATGAAAAGGCTACCCAGGGCCTCTTTATGCCATCATTTAAAAAAAAAAAATATAAATACAATGGATTATAAATACATTATAAACCCAGGCCTTTTGGAATATGCATTTTGGAATGAAATTTGGGCTTCCTCTGAGTTAACTGAAGAGACAGAGAAGGAGATTTTTATTCTATACCACTTAAACATATCATGCAGGGGCCTGCCACAGAACAGATTTAAATCTTCCAGTGGGTACAAGGTTTGGGGTATAGTTGTAAAGGGTCATGGCCTCAGCTGTTGGGTGTAAGTCAAGGACTCTGTCTCCTTGACAGCATCATAGTAGACACGGAGAAAAAAGGAGAAAGCCAAGGCCAGACATTTCCAAAAGAGTAAAGGATACTGTTGAAACAGTGTCCCCAATCCATTCTGTCTGTCTGTGCCCTGTGTAGGAAGAAAAATGCCTTAGGCTGCCTTAGCTCAGCCACTGTTATACTCTTTCCTCCTTCCCCTCCCCCAGTGTCATTTATCAAATGTGCAAAGCTAGTTTTAGAATCTGTTATTCTAATAATAATAATCTACTGGATAGCAGGCAAAGAAAAACACATGCTATATATTCACATTAATTCATGCAAATAATCTGTTTAAATTCATGCACGCATATGTTGCAGATTCAATTAAAATACATTATGTGTTCTGGCATTGTGGATTTTTATAGATTGATTTTTATAAACTGTGTTACAAGGTACACGGAAAGATATGATGAAAAAGAGCATTGTTCATTATTTCCATTAAAATAATTTTCCTCTCTACCCTGTAATAGCTGACTGTTAGGACAAAGGACTCAAATGGAAGGAATGCAGTCTAGATGCATGATGAGAAGTTGCTATGGCTATGCTATGTGGCATCAACACCCCAGCTAATCAAGTAGTTGTGCCATCCTGTCCACTGTACTTGTTAAAGACACTCTTTATGGCAGGCTGACTGAACACACAGAATAGAATCAATCCTTGTCATTGATCAGCTGCATGTACTGTGGGGGCCAATTTCTGTTCTCTGGACCTGCCCCTGTTGGCAGATATGGTTAATTTAATGTGTTTCCATTGTCTGCATGCCCTACAGAAAAAAACATTTGACAGGTGCTGGAAATGTGGCAGGATTCCAAGAGGTCACTCAGTCTGCGTCCTGATGTAGTTCACTGCAAAAACTGTGAGCTGTGCTAGTGAAATGCACCCAGTGAAGGATGTACTGGTGCTTGCACATAATTGTTTTAACACCACTTTGAACTCTCTCAATCTCATTATTTCAAAGAATTACACCTACAGTAATTTAAGGGGTGTTATAGCTGCATTTATGCCTCAAGGCACTAGTGACTTGATTCTTCTACTTACAGTTTTCATTATAGTATAAAGCAAAGCTCCTGATGATTTCATGGGTGAAACATTTGGTTACTACTTGCCCATATGATACAGTAGGAAGTCAGTTCTTCATTGGCCAGGCAGAATTTTATATGGAGTACGAGTTTCAGGTTATTTCCAAAATACTTATAAATTGTCTGACCTATACATCTCAGGTCTATTGGAAATATGAATAGGGAAACAACCTTATATGCAAAAAGTCAAAAGAGATTATATTTATCTAAACAGCCACTTATCCAAATGCAACATCACAGAGAGAATTAAATCAAACTGTAGATGTTATTTTGAATTATGCATCAGAGAAATTTCTTTATTATTGTCCAGACCATATGAATTTCCCAGCGTTGCCAGAACAAACAAAACTGAGAGCTGTTGCAGGGATGGAGCTTCATGAAACCTGTCAGATGAGTGACCAAGAAGGAAGCCTTTCTGCTGAGGAACAACTGAATCAATCGTTCAACAAATACAGGTTAAAATTATCAAACTGTCATGATGTCTTTTATGATCACAATATATCTCGTGATTTAGTTTCTATGTAAGTGAAGTACACAACTAATGCTTTCAAGAAGTGTTTCATTTGCATCTGATTTGAGTTGGCATTTGTAAATTACAATTCTACTTTTATAACAAACATCTTTTGATGTTGATTTTTGGATGCTGATTTATGCTGGGGATCACCTCTGGTCTTTACTACATATCTTCACTAGTGATGTAACGCATTGATGCATTTGCTAGTTTTCAGTGTTAAAGGACTAGGTACATAAGAGAAGTACATTTTACTCCTAAATTTTCTAGGAGTGTGAGACACAACCTAAGTTAATATCACAGTTACTGTTATTTTCATTTATTTTAAGAGGAATAGAAACAGAGGAAGACCTATGTAAGAACAGCATGTAACCTGATACATGCTGGGATACTGGGATTTAAGTCCCTGCTTCAAAGATTTGAACCTAAAGAAAGGACAAATACAACCTTGGAAAGTTCTAAAATGCTACATTTTATGTAGATAGTCTTTGTTAGCGAAGCCTAGCCATGATTCAATTCAGGCATTTGCAGCTGTGTGTTTGGAGTCATTCTTTACCAAGTTCAATAAGGAATCTAGCTGAGAATGGACTACTGTTCTCAATAGCTCATTAGCTATTAGAAATACTGTAGGTAATTTACACATGTTCAACTAAGACATTCTGAGAAAAATGCTTGAAAAGTAGTTAAAAGCTCTCCTGTTGTTTTGGTGTATCAGTAGCATATAAACAGTAAATTCTGGAGGCTTTAATTCCTTTGCATGTCTAGGTTAGTTTTGTTACGTTTCAGCTACAGTCTGGATTACTCTGGTTTTTAGAAATGTAGTAAAAATTAATGACTGTGAAGTTTTTGAAAAAATTGTGGTTGTAAGAGGTGTGGTTCACGTTGAGAAGCTGTGAAACGTGAAATGGTAATAGACAATGAAGACACTACAATATAGTATGGGCTGATATGCCCACAACTAATGAAATCCCAGTCAGAACTCCTTTCTGCAGAGATATTCACAGGACTTCCAGGAGACTTGTAGTCATTCATAATCTGAATATGTGCTGTTTGAATTTAAGAAGATTTATTTTGTAGCACTGGCCCTCTAACTTTGCAAGGCAATTCACTTACAAAACCAAACCACTTAAGAAGTGCCTGCAGCTGAAGAATAGCGTTAGGGAAGTAATAGCCAGGCAGGAAAGCTTTCCTGAACTCAACCTATGCTGGAAATACTTGATAGTTCAAGAAACCTCAACCAGATATAAAAGATGTCACTATCAGCATTTGCAGGGCCAAGTGGTCTCACTATAAGATGGTTATATACATTCCAGCTGATAAAAAGCATGTGGAACATCAGTTCTGCATACACCCTGGAAGAAGAAAAAAAAAGATGCTGAAGCTCTATGAACTCTGTCTGTGCTGTATCAGTGTGAGGTGTGGAAGTTGATGCAGCCCCAGAACTCACGCAGCAAGAAGGGAATAGTCATCTGTATTGGAAAGAGAAAACAATGAAAAGAGAAACTGGTATGCAATAGCACATGATTTACTTCAACACCAGTGTCCTGGAAGAAAAAAATATATCTTGACACCAGGTTAAAAAATCATCACCAACCTTCTGTTGTATGCTGGCACTCCAGAGAAAAATGTAATGTCTAACTAAACTACGTTAATTTTTTCTTAAGTGCCACACCTGTGTCAAACACCAGAGGCAACATGGTCTTTGTGGACATGAGAGTCTTGAGTGCTTGGAACAATTCATGAAAATGACAACTCCACTTGGGAAGAAAACAACAAAGCTGGTAGCAAAACAAATGTGCCACCCCCATGTATCCTGCAGACACACAGTTTATAAACCACAGTTGCAGAGCCTCTATGAACAAGGCAACCCATCAGAGACAGAAAGTACCGAACATAAATACAACATTGCAGGACTATAGGGGGCATAAAAGTAACTAGAAACACATAGCAGTAGTTAGGCAAGAAGAGATAAGGAGAAAATGGAAGATGGCTTCACTGCCCTTTCCTAAATATTTGTAAATATGCTCAATTTTTTTTGGCAATGATAGAAAAATGTCAGACACACAGACACTTTAAGGATAAGAACTTCCTGTGTATGAAGTAAATGGCAAAATTCCAGAAAATGTTAGTGGAAGCAGCATGGTAAGTCAGAGTACTTTGACAATTCAGACAATAATAGAAGTTCCACAGTTACATAACAATTGGAAAGCTATGTTTTTATACTTATGTGTAGACAAGTTATCAGAAACTTATCACTGCAGAATAGATGGTCTGGGAAGAGCAAAATCCCCTCAGTTGTGAATATTAAGATGACCCTGTTAGTTAAGAATCAGCCAACTATAGCCATTGCATTGTTCAGTCAGTACCTCGTGCAAAAAGAAAATAAAACTAAAGAGGCAAAAGGTGTGGGGATTCACATGCAATTTTCCATTAAAGGTGAAAGCCCTAATAAGGATACCCCACTCTCCTTTCTCAATATCCGCTCTTGAGACAGCTCCAGCATTTCTGATTACTACAATAAAAATATGGTCTTTAACACAAATGAAATAGAGTAAATCTGAGGTTCGCATACTGTGATTTGGCCTAGGACTTCCCAGGGTGAGCAGCGTATCAACAAATACACTCAGAAAAATACCAGACAGAAGTACCATATTGTATGACTTCTGGAAGTCAATGCTAAGGATATGGTCTGGGTTTGGACCAGAAAACATTGTCCATGCTTCTGTTTATTGTCCTCTCTGTACCTTCTTTCTGAGAATACCCTCTTCAAAAGAGGGCATTTGTATTAGACAAGTGAATGGAATTATAGGTTGGGTCAATAATTGCCTGAATAAGACCTCAAATAAGTACTGCTTTCAACACTCTTTTGTTTGTTTGTTTTCTTTTAAATTTTGGCATTTTTTTGTTTATTTGGATTTTTTTCCGCTGGGTTTGTTTTGGGGTTTTTGTTGGGTTTTTTTTCCCCCTACTTTATCTCTCAAGCATCCCTGGACATTTGGCCCTATGAAAATCATGCAGATGTCATAAAAAAAAAGTTAATTATTTTTCTCGGACTTTCTTTCTTTTTCTTCTCCAGCAGCAGTTTTTTTCTCTTATTGATTGAGAACTAAAATAGTACATATATGTTACTTTCCCACATATTAAGAAAAGATTGTGTCACAATGGCTGTCAAATAAATTATCTGAATAAGTAACATCCAAACTGTGAAAATCCGATGCTATTTTTGCGCTTGTTTTAAAACAAGCTATCTACTTTCACACTGTGAGCAACAAGAGAGTTTTGCATGCAGCTTTTCCATTTTCGTGTAAATGGTTTATGATTGTGTGGTACATGCTGTAGAGTGCATGAAATTAATTTGCATTTGAAGTTTGATGGATGGATTTCCCACTTATGTTTACATTTTGGAATAGTTCAGTTCCATTGTATAACCTTCCTGAATCTACTGGAATTGTGTTTTAGAGCTCTTAAATAAATTGGGTTTTAACATTTGAAATTCAACACTTCGAACAGGGAAAAAAAGCTTAAGTGTGGCAAAACTTCACTGATTGTAAGTTCTATGGTAAAGAACACAGTCTCTGCTTTGCTTTACATTACAAAAAATATGTGTACAAATCGTTTAAACAGCATTTATTCAGAAAGAAGTGCAGAGCTAAGCCACAGCACCAGATTTTTATGCTTTATTTGAAAAGCCATATATTGGCATCTGGCACCTCTAAACATCATTAGTAATTTAGACAGTGGAATGTTTATGTAATTTTTTGCATGTTCTGTGATCCTTCAGAAACTTGGTAAGAGCACAGGGGACTACAATCCAAAAAATTAAATTCATGCCTTTACCTCAGCGCTGTTGAGTACAAGACCCCATTACTGGGGAAGGCACTATAGTCTAGCAGTCACAAAATAAGTACTTGTATTGTTTCTGTAGGATAGCAGTCTCATGCTTATAAATGCAAATTTCTATTTAACGTCTTACTATTTCATCATATAAACATCGGATTATTTGTACTGTATCTTAAGGCTGCAAAGCTTATGGTTTGGCTAAGTAACTACAACCATTTGTTTTTTAACAATTGAAAATACTGAGTTACAAAAAGTGAATTCACACTAATACAGGATGAATGAGAAGGTGTTACAGCGTCAAGTTGTATGAATGTAGTAAATTTGCTTTTTCTCATTTCCATACTATTTGTTAAGTAATGGCTTAAAAACTCTCTTTGACTTTTTGCTCTGGAGATAGAACTTACTTTTATTTGCAATAATACTCAGTGAAATAGTAATTGACAAAAAAAAATCTCAAAAAGGTAATGTTTGATTTAAAACTCAAAACACATTTTTTGAGTATCACAATCACAGAGTTCAAAAAGCTGTGTCTGAGTAGCTGGATGCACAAGCCAGGGCACTAAGGCGTCCTATTATATTTAGATTTTCAAGGTTGCCCAGTAAGTTACATATCTATTAGAAGTAGAAGGATGCTTTCTGAATAATGATGATGATGATGATGATGTTGTTGAAGATGATATTAATATGATGATAATAGTATGAAGCATTAACAATGCAGCATTTGGCAGTTTAATATTGAACACTTGCAGTACCAGTCTCCAATCAAGCCCTGTTCCATTGGGCCACTAGATGGTACTGTACCACAGTACAATTCCTTGGCTGCTTATTTGACATTACAGCTGTGAATGATTATTTACAATTGTTACAATGTCATAATGATTTGTTTGCCCAGTTTTCCTGCACACAATTTACACACACACACAAATAGAGAGGATACATGTAAGGTATTTCTTGGTTTGATTTGCTAACATCCCTAAAGAGTGTATGTTACTTACCAACCAATACAAATGCACCTATGATGTTTCAAAGGCACAGCGACAAATACTTCCATTGCTTCACTGCACGTGGAAAACAAAATACTCTTTCAGAGTCTGTGCTCCCTAGACAGGAACAAACGGCATTCAAGCACAAACCGGTGAAAAGCACAAGCCCAAATTCAGAGGTATGATAATTTTCACAATTTGGAATTCCTTGCAGATTTGGGAACATTCATACTCACTTTCCATATGCAAACAGCAAAATTAAGTGCACTGTAGTGGTAAATCAAGCCCATGAAATCCAAAGCAAATAAAAACCAAATAAAAAACCCAATTGCTATTTAAAAGTTCAGGTTTTATCTGTTTTGCTAACTGTTGCTGGAATACTCACTCACTTCCAATAGATTATACATGATTCCTTTTCTTGCATGCATGTATCAAACCAAGTCATATTTCCACAGACTTTCTACTCACCATCTATAGTTTCCTTACTGAACTGCTGTATTGGGTCCCATCTTACTGGGTCACAAGGCTATGCACTGTTAAACTTCCTTTGCTCTAAAATACTTTTCCTATGGCCCGATGCATTCCTTTGGCAAAGACTATTAGTGTCCTACCTTCTATGCAAAGTTAGACTTCTGAACTTTATCTTGCTTACATGTTTCTGATCACATGAAGGGGGATGTTTAACATAGGGGTCAAATCACAAAGTAGGCAAAGGCCGTAAGTCTGGACTGCATATAGAAAAAAATCAAGAAGACCACAGTTAATGAAGAATCTTGGCAGAAATCGCCAAGTCCTCCATTGCTGGGAAATGGCAAATAATCGGCTCACATGACCAGTATGTCAGGCAGAACAGGTTGATTAGCTCTTGCTAGTGTGCAGGATCCCAGTGCAAAAGACAGCATAGTTCAGCACTGTAAGTGGTTCTTGTGCATGAAGTCCAAGGTAAGAGACCACAGTGCTCTCCAGCACCCTCACAGACCTATGCTGAATGCCACATTCCCCAGCACCATAATCGTGCCCCTCCCAAACCTTCAGCCATGTGAGCACAGTGACAATAGAGAGAAGTTACCAGCAGAATTCTGCAGGCAATTGATTCTTCTTAACAAACTCAAAAATTGATTGGAAAACGATCTTAGCAGTGAAGTGGAAGAGTTTGCTGAGCATACACATTTACTCAATGTAGGATGTGTTAGAGCTGAATGCACAGAACTGTAAATGGGCCTTAACAGTAAGTAACTGGTTAATAAAATGGCAGAGGAAATTTAGTGTAGATAAATGTGAAATGATGTACGTGGGCTAAAGTGTTCTTGGCTTTATGAATAAAGTGATGAGCTCTCAGTTGCCTGTTACCATTCAGAATTGAATGTTTGGGACTGTAACAGATAGACATTTTCATAAAAACATCAACTCAGTGCACGGCACGAATCCAAAAGTGCAAATGTTTGTTAGAAAAGCTAAAAAGAACAAAGTAGGGAACATAACTAAGCCAGTCTGTAATGCCTCAATTTGCTCACACCTGGAATACTGTGTGCTGTTCTGATGTTTGCATCTTGAAAATGTTAGATTAGAGGTGAAAAAAGTTCAGAGAAAGGCAAAGATGAACAAACACATGGGACAGAATGGTTTTCACTGGGAAAATAATTGAG